ATTTTGTTATTAGAAAGAGATACGAGACATCCAAGTAAGTGCTTTAATTGATTTATTGTTATTTACGATATAGAAATCATGTCTAGGTTGTTATTATGATTCCTAGTGTCATGTTAGGGCGTTTTGATCTTCCTAGTATCATGTTTAGGGTAATAACTATAATTTCTATGATCAAATATGACAATTATGATTCATGCGATGCTTTCTATGTTCTTTCCTAATATTCATGTTAGTATCATGTTAGGGTTAAAGCTTTGGTTTTTAATGTTTAGTGACATGCTAGGGTTTGTTATTAATCTTGTTAGCATCATGCCTAGGATCTTGCTATTAATATTATGCTTTAACAGATTGTTATTATTATTATGATAATTATTATTGATGATTATTATTATGTTGCTTGATATTTATTATTGTTATTGCTTGATCACACCTTTTATGCATGTTTAAAGGAAATTGGTACTTGTAATCACGCTTGATAAGATAATTAATAATCTTATTTAGGGTTAATTTGATTATAATTCAAGTGATCACCAATAATAGTTTTGTTTGTGCATTAATATTCAACCAACATAGATTAAACAAGTTTAGGGTAAACCTATTGATTGCATGTTAGTCAGAAAGCGCACATGAATATGATCAGAATAAAGTAGAGGCCTATTATTAGGAAAGGTTCAATCTCTTTTAGGTTGTATTTGTACCTTCATCCCCGAACTACCAGTCATGGTTCCAGACCTATTGGAGTTGACAATCTCCTGGATCGTTAAAGGGTGTAACCTTCACCTCGTGAACGGTTTACAAGTTCCTAAAACTTGTTGGTGACTCTTTTTCTCTATCTTCTTTCCCTTTGGACGCCACCGTACTTTAGTGTATGATCACACTGGGGTTCAAGTTTGGAGTAATGCTTGAAATATTCCCTATAATTATTTAATTTAATTGTTTTATATTTTCCTTGAAGTTACTAACGCGTGTATTTTGTTATTAGAAAGAGATACGAGGCATCTAAGTAAGTGCTTTAATTGTTTGCATTGTTATTATGATATAGAAATCATGTCTAGGTTGTTATTATGATTCCTAGTGTCATGTTAGGGTGTTTTGATTTTCCTAGTATCATGTTTAGGGTAACAACTATAATTTCTATTATCAAATATGACAATTATGATTTCTATGATGCTTCTTATTTTCTTTCCTAATATTCATGTTAGTATCATGTTAGGGTTAAAGCTTTGATTTTTATTGCTTAGTGAGTATCATGCCTAGGATCTTGCTATTATTATTATGCTTTATTTTTAACATGAACATGATTATGATTATTATGATGATTATTATTATGTTGCTTTATATTTATTATTTATTGCTTGATCACGCCTTTTATGCATAAAGGGAATTGGTACTTGTAATCACGCTTAATAAGATAATTTATTAATCTTGTTTAGGGTTAATTTGATTATAATTCAAGTGATCGCCAATAATAGATTTATTTGTGTATTAATATTCAACCAACATAGATTAAACAGGTTTAGGGTAAACCTAATGATTGCATGTTAGTCAGAAAGCGCACATGAATACGATCAGAATAAAGTAGAGGCCTATTATTAGGGCAGGTTCAATCTCTTTTAGGTTGGATTTGTACCTTCATCCCCAAACTACCAGTCATGGTTCTAGACCTATTGGAGTTGACGATCTCCTGGATCGTTAAGGGGTGTAACCTTCATCTCGTGAACGGTTTACTAGTTCCTAAAACTTGTTGGCGACTCATTTGCCCTATCTTCTTTCCCTTTGGACGCCACCGTACTTTAGTGTATGATCACAATGGGGTTCAAGCTAGGGATAATGCTTGAAATATTCCCTACAAGTTATTATTTTCTTTTTCATTTTTTTCATTTTTTTAATTTCAGACCAAACATGTGCTGACACGTGTATTGGTTACATGTTACAACAAGTCGTTGACCGCTTGGGATCGTTAAGGCAAAGTCAAGGCGTAGTTAGGATTATAAGAATTTAATCAGCAAATACTGGGATTATTAAAGTGCATTTTTCCAATGAAATAGACATTATCCAAGAATTTTTAGAGCACCACATAACAAAAAGTATTATTTCAACCACGAGAAAAGATATTTAAATTTTATTTTAAAATTAAAAAATTCAATTCCACATAAGCATAACATAGATTCATATATTTGGCTGGTCACACCATGTGCCCAGCTATAATAGAGGTTAGAGACTTAGAGGTGATCATTAGGCGGGGCAGGTCGGGTTCGAGCCGGGCGAAAGCTTAAAAATATACTTTTTGGGCTAAGCAAGCTTCGACCCGGATTTTTTTGTGCCCAAACCCGTACAAAATGGTCGGGTCATGTGCGCTTTTCGGGCCATTTTTGGGCCGGGTCTAAAAAATCAACTAAATATGCATAAAAACGCATTCACAAACCTGCCCAAAAAAAAATTAAAATTTCGTTGTGCCGAAAAATTCTTCCCAAAATTGGGGCGAGAACGGGCCGGACTAACTTTGATCACCTCTAATAGGGGTTACTTCGTCTTATAGGGGTTACTTGGTTAGTATTACAGGAATTAATTCGTCAAATGTTATAGGGGTTACTCAGTCAATATATATTTTTTTTGTCAATATTATTCTTTATACTCGGTCAATGTTAAAGGGTTACTCGGTCACTATTATTTCCTGGTCTTGGATTGAACCTAAACCAAAGTCTATAGGCTGAATTAGGAGAATGGAAACCTATTGGTTCTGCAGAGCTAAGCCGGTAAGCAAGAAAGGAAACTGACCGGGAAGTGCTATTCACTCTTCCTAAAAAGCTTTTTTGTCCTGGCATTCAAGACTGGCATGTACAGTGAGAAGTGCGCTGAGTATACCGCTCTTCTGCAGAATAAGACTTGGTATTGAGTGCCATATGAACCCTCTATGAACGTTGTTGGATGTCAAAAATGCCTTTTTATTTTTACATGGTAAGTTGAATGAAAAAGTATTTATGGTTCAACCACCAGGCTTTGTTGACCCTGCTCGTTCTAAACAAACATGTCTGTAAGTTATAGAATTTATAAGGGACACGCACTTTAACGATCGCACATAAGATGTGCCGAAAAATTCTGCCCAAAATCGGGCCGAGAACGGGCCGGACTAACTTTGATCACCTCTAATAACGGTTACTTCTTTAGTCTTATAGGGGTTACTTGGTTAGTATTACAGGAATTAATTCGTCAAATGTTATAGGGGTTACTCAGTCAATATATTTTTGTTTTTTGTCAATATTATTCTTTATACTCGATCAATATTAAAGGGTTACTCGGTCACTATTATAGAATTTATAGGGGACACGCACTTTAACGATCGCACATAAGATGGGCCGCAAGCATAATTAACAAATTAGGTATGAGAATTTTAATTCAGTTGTACTAGGGATAAAGAATAACAAAAGGTGATTTAATACGAAGTATTTAATTTTTAGGTTTACAAAATAAAATTATCTTTCGATGTCAAAAATTGTGTCTAAATAAGGCTCCGTTCATTTCACCTTATTTTTGCTGAGATGAAATTATTTTTACTGAAATAAAATTATATTTGCTGAATTTAAATTATTTTTAATGAACTTAAATTAATAATTAATTTTACTGAACTGAAATTATTTTTGTTGAACTGAAATTATTTTACTTAATATTTTTTTATAAGATTAAGGGCCTGTTCATATTTACTTATTTCCAGTTCAGTTCAGTTCAGCTCCAATCAGTTCAGTTCAGTTCAGTTCAGCTCTAATCAGTTCAGCTCAGTTCAGTTCAGTTCAGTTCAACTCAGTTGTTAATTTTCATAAACATTTTCATATATTTTTATACATTTTAATTTTTCAGTTCAGTTCAGTTCAGTTCAATTCAGTTCAGCTCCAATCAGTTCAGTTCAGTTCACTTCAGCTCCAATCAGTTCAGTTCAGTTCAGTAAATATGAACAGGCCCTAAGTGAACAGGGCCTAAATGAGGAATGGGAACACGTTAAATTTTTAATAACTTACCAAATTAAAAAAATTATTTTTTCCTTTTATAAAAAACCTGCATCGCATTTTTTAGGACCTAATTTTCTTAAAGGTAAGAAATTTTCATTAATTGTTATAAGTTAATTGCACAAATAAGAGATATGCATTATAATAAAATCTTATACTTTTCTAATAAAGTCTATAGTAATTTGATCATATTATAAGGGTTTTTTTTAAGAAAAGATTGAATAGTAAAATGAATAAATAATTAAAATTTACTTATAATAAAATAATATCTTAGATATATGTATCAAAAACTCATATATTTAAGATATTATTTTTTCATAAAAAAAGGTTTTTTTTTCACAATGTGTCCTTCCTTATAGACAATTACACACGACAATCTGCAAGTACAAGTCAATGTATAGTGATGATAAGTGGGTTTATTTGACCACTTATTGTGGTGATTTTAACCCGATTTTGCTATCTTTTCCCCTCTTTCTAACCGTTTTGTATATAAAATCTGTCTCGGCCTTGCCCCCTCTTTGTTTATTTTTTGCCGTGTTTTGCAGGTACTATAACTCAATTTGACAAGCATTCAAAGCATGGAATGATGTTCAAGGCTCGAAAACCACTACTACAAAAAGTGGAAAAAGTAACGCATATTACACAACTGTCAAGTTGGATAGGCGTTCTCTAGAATTGAAAAGAACGCCTTTGATATAAGATCGTTTTATAAGTTAAATCAAATAGAACGTCCCTCATTGTCAACTGTTTTGTATAATTTTGTCATATTATTTGAATAAAGACAAATAAATATGGCTTTACAATGTAGAACAATGTTGTATGATAGCGGTTACTCCCTCTATTTTTTTTATATGCATCACTTGGGAATGCACATAGTTTTAGGAGATAAATATAATATTATGAGTAGGTGAATAAATTATTATAATAAAAGTATGATAGGGACCATGAAAGAGAAAGTATGTGAGAGAGAATAGATATTTTATTATTTAAGTGGGGATATAGAAGAGAGAGAAATGATAAAATAATTTGAGTGAGGTTTAAAGTAAGAGAGAGAAATAATAAAATATAGTATAACTTTACCAAATATAGAAATGATGCATATAAAAAAAAACATCCATTAAAAGAAAAGTGATGCATATAAAAATAAAAAGGAAGGAATATATTTGATTTGTCAGTGCACCAAAAAAAAATATTGATTTGTTAGTTATTTTACATTACTCCACTACTCAAACCCTATCCCTCATACTTTTTTTATTTACAACTCTACCGCCTCCTCTTCTTTATTCTCTCTCTTAAAATACCGCTTCTCTTCTTCCATTGAAATTCATTTGTTTGTTTTGTGAATTTATTTACTAAAATTTACACCATTGATCCTCCTTATGCTTCCTTAATCCCCTTGTGCCAAGGAATTGCCACAGATGACTTCGAAAACGAAAATGACATCGTTGACGAAATTGACAGCGTAAGTTCTATTACTTGGAGATTCTGTAAGTTCCTCAAATTTGCTACTACTTGGACATCTCTACTATTTGTTTAAATATCTATTTGATTTCGATTTAATGGTTTTAACAAATTAATTTATGTGTCTAATTTTTATTAGATGGATGCATAATTGGTATCCTTTTGATTCATTTAAAAAGACAAAAAATTGGTGTTCTTGTTGAATCTTAATCTAACTTATGATTACGAGCAATACACAAATTCATTCTAGTGTACTCAATTTTGATTTGAGATTTTATTGTAATCTAATTGATTTGTATTTTATTTTAGGGATGATATTATTTTTTGTTAGATCTGTGTGGCTTTCATTATATTATTGGGGGATTTAGGCTTTTTTTTAGGTGATTATAGATTTAAAAATTGATATGCATATGAAATTTTGCTACTCGTATAGTCGTATATTATACAATCGTTCAGAAAATTTTCAACGATGGAGAAATTTTATAATTTCAAAATTACCAATCAAATCTGTTTGCTTGTACAGCTAAATAAACCTTATTAACTACTCTTTTGTTGTTGCACATATTTACATGATAGGCTAAGGTCTTGAAGCAAAGAAGCTCTTCAATCTCATTCTCGTGCCTACAAATTTGGTTCGCTGATCTACTGTACAACAATTTCAAAATTTAAAGTTGGTTTCTAGGATTCTAAAGTGTAGCAATAAAATTTTAATATAGATTATGTATTTTTTTAGGTTTTTGTTTTCATTTTGTGATATGTATTAGCTAAATCGAAATTTTAATTTCTTCGTCACTCCATACTTTGTAAACTCTCAATTGAAATTTTAATGCATAAATTCTCTTATTTTAGATTTAGTACCACAGTTTTCTCCATTTATTTCGAATATTATTTCTTTATGCAACTTACAGAATTTAGATTTATAATAAATTTGATTTTTTTTTTTTAAAAAAAAAAGGAATGAAAGAGAATGGTCATCTAAAACAAACGTTCTTTTTTTCTTAGGAGTACAGAACGCCTATCATCAAATCTATCTATATATTATACTAAAAGACAAGCGCCTTAATGTGAGGATGACAAATGTCACTCTCTCATTCACTTATCTTAAGTATTAAATATATTTATATAATTATTGTTTACATATTCAAGCATAGTTATTTTTATTAGACTTCAAACAATAAAAGCAAGTTTCTATACATGCATAAGATTTTCATGATTTCCTAACATAAATATTGATTTAATTTTTTTATAATATATATATACTTTTAATACAAACATTTAAAAAAAATCAGATGTACAATAAAATATTGTGCACCTATTATAAAAGCTACCCGGTAATGAATGAAAGTTATTTATGCTTTATTGATAAAAGTTACCCAAAATAGTTTACAAATTATCCTAAATTCAATTCAAGTAATCGGATGAATACAAAAGTTTTTGATAAAGATACAAAATAGTGTAAAAATTACTTTTATCGTTTATTGTGCTCCTTGACAAATACTGAATGATGGGCCGAAATGTTGTCTTGAAAAAAAATACATAATCTTGTACATAAATTTAATTTTAATCGGCCTTTCATTTTCTATAAAATGCCTTTTACAATGACCTTTTGTTTTTCTTGCAATAAAAAAAAAAAAAAAAAAAAAAAAAACTGAACCAATAACAAATCAAAACAAGAAGAATAAAAGTTAAATTGAATTAGACATTTGACGGAAAAGGGATAGATATAAAATGTATTATAATCGTGCTTTAAATTGTAATATTCGTATTAACAATGCTATTACTTATGAATTTTTTTTAGAAAAACTAACATTTTGATTTAAAAATCGTGCATTGCTCATGTACTATACTAGATATACAACAATCATGTGCAGTAATTTATGTTGTTTTATACATAATAATACTTTTAACTATAATAGTATGTGTATATAATATAATATTTTTTATAATATAAAAATGTATATGTATATAATATAATATTTTATAACACGTGTTCTCCATACAAAGTGTTTAGTTGTTGGTGTAGTGGTGATTGAGAGTACACTTGGTAGGGAGGATCTGTGTTCGCCCCCCTGCAACAACAATCGGAAGGGGAGTGGAACCTAATAGCCTAGTTTAGATCCTCAAATCTGGATTAGCCCAAAAGGTGAACCGGATAGAACACCCAAAACTCAATGCATATATGACGGGAATTAACTTATCCTTTATCTATCTTATACAAAACTCCAAAGTCTAAATTTTTTTTTCAAAATATAATAATAACATTTGTAAATTTTTGTTAATATGAAAGATATAAACCTATCAAAATGTATATATAGTTAAATTGTTTAATAACTTATGTCGAATGCGTAGTTTTATTAAAATTATTTGCATGTAATCATTAAATGTGTTGGATGTTGTGTAGCTATGCAATGTCCAAAACTTTAGTTGAACGACTTTGATTTAGTGATTGTACGGTAAAAAGATATTGACTTCGATCTTGAAACCTAATAGTCTAATAAATTCTAAATAGAAAAATTAAAACAAAAGGAAATGAAAATAGTAAATGGCTTTAAATATTGAAATAAACATAATCTTTTAAATCAATTTAGCGAATTCAAGAGACAATTTTAAGGCTTTTAAAATTAAATGGGGGAAAATATATGTAAAAAGAACATTTTTAGATATATAAATGTCCATGCACTATTATAAGAGTTTTGTTAACCATTTTAAATTAACGTAGGGATAAATCTTAGTAATATATACTCCGTATATTTTATTTATATAAAATTATCACATCAGTATCCATACCTATATACGAAGTATTTGTGTTATATACTATATTTAATCAGCTGTTGGTTATATATATGACTATTATATAATATATAGTTTTTGGCACAATGCTTAACTTAGGAAAATATATGTTCTGGTAGGTCAAATATAAGGTTATTATTGTGTCTATAAATTTAATGAGTGCGACGGGTAAATAAAACATGTATATATTAGATTGATTGTAGCTACTGATGCGGATGGTATGATAATAAAATTTATTTTTTTTTTCGACGGGAGATATAGATAAATTAGTCCACTTCTTATATAGCTATGTGGAGTATTATTCAATTATTTTCAATTAATAAAATAACATTATAAAAAATTAAAAGAAATTCAAATAACATAAATACTGTTCAAATTACGTTCCTTTAATTTTTTTTATTGACCATTAGTAACCAAGTCCTTTAATAGTAAATGAATTACCTTTGTTTTTATTTTTATTTTTCCTACGGGTTTAATAGTTTGATTTATAAACCGTGCATCGCACGGGCACTATGCTAGTAACAGTTCTGTTTTCCTTGTTTTTTACTTAATTTACACATACAATAGAAAGCCGTTATGTAAGATAGGCGTCCTATATTGGGCTTATAACATAGAACGCCCCCAACAGGCGTCTTATAAACTTTATAAGGCACCCTAGTTGAAGAACGCCTCTAAGGCGTTCTATATTTCCTATTTAAAGCATTCTATATTGTTAACAAAGAAAGGAGAGCCCTCTCTTGGTGGAGCGGGTGTGCACCTCTCCAGTTTCGGGTGCTCCATAAAAATTAGCAACATTCTACCCCAAATCCAAACCTCTGAGAAGCGGGCATGCTCCCTAGCTGGAGCGGGCGCTCTTAGCTGCTCTATAACTTTCTGCCACGACTCTGAAGCATGGAGGAGCGGGCATGCACCCTCCTTGGAGCGGGCGCTCCTCCCCGATTATTTGAATTCTGACTTCTTCTAAGGCAAGCTGGAGCGAGCGCACAACTGTTAGGATCGGGCGCTCTTGGCTTTAGAGCGGGCGCTCCTCGCTTGAAATCCATCCTATTTTGACGAATTAACCTATGTAATTCGGGGAGTATAAATATTTTCCCTTTAGCTCATTTGTAAGGCAGACAGAAGTAGCATAGTATTTAGCATTCCCTCTTAATAAACAATCCATTTTTGATAATTTAGCTTAGTTTTCATCAAATTAATCATTGTAATAGTGAGTTTCAATAATTATTCTCAAAGTTTGGCACATTGTATTTAATATTTCAAGCTTCAATTAGTAATTTCTTAAACCTTCATCTACTTAATTTCTTATTTTATTTGGTATTTGCATGTTACTTGAATCTCTTTAGTTCTTGATAATTTGTTGTTGGATGATAGTTTATTCAATTGTTAACCACTTTTCCCCAATTATTGAAGTATTTAGAACCTTAATCCTTGTTTGCATGTTGATTAATATGAGTTGTGAGAAGTCTTCTTTCTAGGGGTTGGGTGAATCTCAACCTTTTGGGCTAGTTATGTAAATGTGGGAGAAGCATTGATGTTTGTACTGCAATTAAATTGATTGTATGAGATTGCTTGTTAGTTCTTCATGATAGGATTAGCTACCCTTGACTTAGGAGCTTGATAGCATAATATGCTTAGTTTGACATGGAAATGTGAATTGAGTATGCCATTACTTAATGCAATTTGATTGTGTATCTTCGATCTATTATTAAACTAATGAAGAATCTAAGTTTGGTAGCTAGTGTGAGTTGTTTTCTAATTGCATGACATTGATCTTACATATAGTCCTTGCTATTTATTGTTACGCCCCGTTCGCCTAATTGCCTTGGTTGAGTGGATCCCATTCCCTAGTGTCTTTAATCCATTGAATTAGAATCATAGTTTGTTTGTCTACTTGACGAACCCGAAATCACCATATACTTTGAATTAGCTTAAGTGTTAAGATCCTTAGAAACAATATCTCGTTCCTTGTGGACCAAACTCTTACTTATCATTATGCTTTGTTTGTAGGATGTTTGTTTATAAGCGTGTTTGATTGAGTGTGGAATGTGCGACCGTTCTAACACCCATCAAAATAGAGTAGCTGCCGGGGAACGATGTTGTTGATTGCTAATTGATTACTTAAGTCTAGTTCACCATAAAACAACAAAAATTCAAAAAGAGTGTGTTCATTTTGGCTACACTTGTGGCCTTGTTACTATTTGCAATTTGTTGAGAGTGTATGCGCATAACTCATAACAGGATTTTGGTGCCTTATGATCACGAGATTGAGAAAACTTATAGAAGGAGAAGGAGAGCCAGTTCTAGGCCGTTAACTACTTTCCCGAACTAGGGAGTTCAATTTCGAGGAGCAACAAGATCAAATGGGTGACGTGGAACCACCACCTCAAAGACCTTTTAAGGAGTTGGGAACTCCAGGAGCTTATAGAGCTTTAAGTGGCATTGCTCCCCCCGTTACTCAAACCAATGATTTTGAAATTCAACCTGTAATGATAAATTTGATTGAAAGGAGGCAATTTAGTGGAGCAAAACATGAGAGCCCTCTTGCACATTTGAACAAGTTTGAAAAATATTACAACACGATCAAGGTAAATGGGGTCACTTAAGAATTTGTGAGACTAAAGCTATTTCCTTTCTCCTTGATATGAAGGGCTCTTTAATGGCTTGAGAAGGAGGTGAGACCTAACTCCTTGAGAACTTGGGACGAGGTCACCACGACTTCTTAGGGAGATTTTACTCTCAAAAGAAGACGGCCGAGGCAAGGGCATTGATCCAAGGTTTCCATCAAAAAGTTAGTGAAACCATATATGAGGCATGGGAAAGATATAAAGAATATCAAAGGGAGTGTCCTCATCATGGCATTCCGACATACTAAGTGCTTCAAATAATCCATGGAGGCTTGAGCCCATAAGGAAAGACTAGCTTGGATGCGGGAGCTGGTGGCCCGATTATGAACAAAACGGAGGAGCAAGTCAGTGAGGATGTGGTGAGCCACCACATGGATTGGAAAGAAGGAGAGAGGGAGTCTCTAAGGAAAGGAGGAAGTGCGGTTTATTCCGTCGATCAC